CAATAAATCAATTTAAAAAATTTCATACATCTTTTAATATAATTTTAAAAAAGGAGACAAAAATTCTGTAGCTTTTACGTTATCAAAATACAAAAAATATACATATACATTTATAAAATAATATCTATACACATATTCTAAATAAGCCTCTGAAACGTTCAAGATATTTTAACAGTTTTTCGAATAATTAATTATACAATTTACACACGTTTTTTGCTCATGTAAAATATTCAATGTCATCCTCTGAAAAAAATCCTGGCAAAAATATTTAGCGCAAACTACAGCGGTTGCACGAGCGCAAAAACGCGAACCAGAGGTAAATAAAATTTTGCCGTCGACTAAACGGAATCACCAAGACATTGCCGTAACATAGTTGTTGCGTTACGTGGCGATCATATTATGGCGAGTTATGCGTGGTGGCTGGAGTTCGGTCGCGCCTTTATTCTAGAAGATGCAGGGACCGAGGATAGGCAAATTGTTTGCGAGGAGAAGCGAGAGAGATGACAGAGCGCAAGAAACGGACCTTCGGAGCGCAGCGACGACCCTCGAAGAAGGTCGGCGTGTTAAACGATCAGGAATGCATATCCTCGCGGAGGCGCACGCGCGCGATAAAATATGCGCTTCGCCTTCGTTGCACAAGCGGACAAGCTATTAAGCGTGGACGGATGACGCATATCTCGGACCTTCGGGAACGCTTTCGGCGAACGAAGGAAGAACCGAGAGAGTCGCGCGTAGGGAATGAGAGCAAGCGATTCAAACATCGTAATTTTCGATACCTATATTAAATTCCCCATTAAGTCCCGCCGGTCTAATTTCAATTCGAGATTAGACCAAATCTCCGAGAATGAAACTCAGAAACATTCCTTTGTGTGTTTCCGTCTTATCGGTTCCGAATTTTACAGATATTCGTATCTCTCGGAATTTACCCTGGAAATCATGGTAATCGTGAGACAATATATGATATTGGAAGAGTTTCTCTATGATTAAAATATCTACCGCGATAAAAATATTAATGTGCACATGGTAAAATTAATCGAACATATTTTGTGTCTTATTGTTTTAAATATTGATCGGAGAAACGTTTATAAAATTCTTTCAACTGTCCTACGATTACAATTTCAAGGTAAATTCTAAAGGAAAATGTTCTCCGTAATATTATTTGAAACTTTGTTCTTATATTGTATATAAGTAAGAATAACATTTAAAATATTGTATTACATAGAAAATATTGCAATAAATGGAAAATATATAATAGAATGTATATTAATTGTAATCAAATATCTAAAAATTAATAATAAACCTCAATATATAAACAATGAAAAAATATATATATATTGTAGATTTATATTTGCCATTATTCACATATTGTGACTTGTTATTATTTTATAGATATTTCATTTTCATTACAATATAAACGTTTTCTCACCGAGGTCACGAAAATTTAATGGCTTTGCAAAAATTGAACACGCATATTTTCCTCTGTAAAAATAATGACTGATCGTAGGACTTGACGCGTCCGAGTATTTTATATCTCGTTTAAATAAATTAATCTATAAATGTTTCAAGTTTATATTTCGTTCCAAGTCAGTGGTGCATCCTGGCACTGTGCCGTGCAAAGTCGAAGGTTCAAGGTCGCTCGAAAAGTTCGGTGAAAGGAACCATTTTTTGACGACGAGACCTCGCTTGACTAGTTTGCAACGAATCGACGTAGTATTAGATGCAGTTGGCATCAAAAAAAAAAAAAAAAAAAAAAAAAAAAAAACTATAGAAACGAGTATATTTTGTTCCGAATTCCTATAAGTTGAAAATGATTCGAATTAGAGAGACTAACAATAAGATCTCAACAGGCATCTGTATATATATTTTTTTTTTTCGCACGATTCGATTTCCAGTGTAATCATACACATCTCTCGATGGAACACGTGAAAAAAAAAAAATGACATCACTCTTCATGATGCGTTTATCGGAGATGGCGCGGAAGGAAAACCTCGGAGGGCGGTCGAAGTCGCGCTATTATTATTGACGTCGAATTGGTTACGAGCAAAGAGCACGAGTCTCGCTCTCTTGCTCTCTCGTCGTCGTCGTCGTCATCGTCTCGACCTAATTCGCGGACGGAGGAGCGGTCGGTCTCAAGCACGCCCGAGGTGTCCCTGAGCGCCCAAGGACGCGTTCTCTCGCGTTGGTGAACCGCTCGTCTCGCGAGGCTACGCTAGGTTGCAGCCGGCTTAGATCGAGGCTACCCAAGCAGGTACCTATCGGACCCACGACACCGTGCAACAAAAGGATCTCGTATTTTTCTACTTCTCTTTCAGAAACTCTAAAGCACCTTGGGATTTTCCCACGAGAGAGCTTTCGGAATTTGTCATGTGTTTATGAGAATTTAAGGATTTGTATAAAAATAGGGTTTCCGACTTTTTTTTTATACATATATCGAAATACGCTACGAGAATGATTTCAGTAAATAATAAACAGGATGCGATCGCTTTGAAATGCCGCAGGAGTAAAGTGGTTGCGATCTTTGATCAAGGATTTCTTTCTTGATACTCTATCCGAATCGTTTCGCAAGTATAATTTAATCGATGCAGGAACCGATCCCGAACTTTGTTAGATAAATAAAGCAGGAGTGCGAATGCCGTTGCAGCAACACGTTGTCGCAATCCTCCGCGCATTATGTGGCTGTTCAACTTTGTGCCCGATCGATTGCCAGGTCGGTCGCGTCAAAGTCCATGGTACGACCGCGCGAGCAAACATAATCGCGGACTTCTCGAGGTCAACGTAAGTGCGATGAGCGCCATTTGTTGGATCCTGCTTAAGGTTATAGCGTAATCGCGAAAATAAGATACTTTTTGATACCCTTCAAAAATATATATATGTTTAACGATAAAATAAAGGTGAAAAATCGTACAAGATTTTGAAACAAAATCATAATAATGATGTAATATCTTTTCAATTCTTCGTCTTTATTTTATTATTAAATATATATTAAAAAAAGTATTTTAGTTTAAATAAAAGTTTTAATATTATTATAAAAGTATATCTTATCGATTTGCTAGATTTCTTACACAGAAAGAATTTTCTCTTAGAATTTACCTTGAAAATTATGAAACTATGGTATTGAAAAAAATTTATTAGGGTTTCTCTAATTTTCATTACAATAAAAATGTTAATATTCATAATAAGATATAAAATATGTTCGATTAATTTTATTATTTTTATTGTGGTAAATATTATCAGAGAAATTCTTGTAAAATTCTCGCACGATTATCATGATTTTCATGGTAAATTCTAAGAGAAAATTCTCTTCGTGTATAATCAAACTGTAAAAAATAGCTTAGTGTTGTTCGTAAAATAATTTCTAGCAAATTTTCTAAAATCTTTTACATTTATGATCGGTAAGATTGAAGCGCTAATGGCATGAAAAATACCGAAGGACGTCCGGTAATTTAAAAGAACGGCATTAAAAAAAAAAATATATATATATATTAATCGCGACAAAATTCTCAATTAATTGCCTGTACTGGAACTATATAATCCAAACATATAAATGATTTCGCAGACGAAGTTCGTACGTGCAAGGCCGATTATTTCTTTGCTCTTTTTTCTCACATTATAAAGTTTTGCATATAAGAAAAAGATTTGTTCTAAAAGAAACGTCAAACATTTTTCATATAAAGATATTTGACGTTAAAATGACATGATAAATAATATTTATAGACCTTTATATGATCAAATTGCCTTTACGGAACCAGCCCTTAAATAATCTGGATTTTAATGCCTTGCATCCCTTAGATTTTTTTAGATATCAAGATCAATTTATTACATGTTATATTTTAATAATAAATATTTCTTTAAAAAAACTTTCATTTTTAACTCCTCCAAGATTAATCGATCCGCGTTATTTTTTAGGAAATTGACAAGCGATCTTCTTCTCAAACATACGTACTTCCCCGCTTTGTTAACACCGTATTTCGTGCATGCACACACTATTATTTTGGAATATGACCTGAGCGATAACATTTCTTCGATATCGATAACGAACGTTTTCCTCGAGTATTCAATGGCGCAATGAGACTAAAACGATGAAAAACGTATGAAACTAGAACGTATTGCGACATTTACATACGTAAAATTATGGTAGCACGAGTGTGTCGATCTTAGAAAATGTCAAGTTTAAGTAAAGTATTTTTTCGCTGCTCTTGTTACGTTTCAGTGATCAAATAATTGCGTAAAATTAGACACTTTTTTCTCGTCTTAAATCTCTTCGCAGTTTGAGAGGCGTTATAGCACTTAACTTTCTTATTCGACTCAAGAAGCATTCGCGTGCAGGAGTCAACGAGGAACATCGAATTTCTCCTTGACGTGGATTGCGGCGAAATGACCTTGAAATCGACGGGACGCGACACGATCGAGCGCACGTGGCCGACTAACACACTTATTATCGAGAAGAGTCCTTTGAACGATATCGTTGTCCTTCGCGAGGATATCAGCGAGTTTTTCATTTGTGTTTCACGCTAACTTTCTGCCAAAAAATTGTCACGTGCTCGATTCGTCAACCCACCACGAAGAACGATAAAAAAATCGTAACATAATAAATATAATATCCTGCATAATATAGCAATAAAATCTCTAATTATATAAAGAATATATATATATATATATATATATATATATATATATATGTATGTTGTGTTAATCTTGTGACAATTTATACATCACAAGGCGATATTTGCAAAATGTTTACAAGAAAGATAAAAAAGATTTGAAATATCAAGAGACAGAGAAACGCAATAATTGATTATTTTGAACCTTGGTTTTCATGCACGTGATGGAATACGCAGAGAGATATTATTCCACCACGTGCTCGAGACCAAAATGGCGGACGGTTTTCGAGAGGTGAATTGTGCCGTTGCACGAATCAAATATAAAAATGTGTAAAGAAGTAAAGAAGGTGAAGCTCTTGCCGAAATGGCGACGGAGCAGCTTGTTAGATAGGAACTCACCACGATAATTGTTGGTCAATGAGACCGAGAGCCCGTAAAAAGGAAAGCTTTTGCTTCAGCTTGGTATCCAACTTTTCCTCTTCGTTCACAGTAGTCGTCACTAGACTCGCTTCGTTCGCGGCGCTATTGTTGCTATCGCTGCTGCTGCTGCTGCTATTGTTGGTGCTGTTGCTACCCTCACCATTGTCATCCTCTTCGTCGTATCTGCGCGGTCCCTCGTCGACCTGGTCCAGGCTGGCGGCTTTGATCCCGGAGTCCTGCGTCCGCAGGAGAACGCGCTTCGGATTCGGGACCTTGAGCCGGGACGCTTGCGCGGACCTCTTCTTCTCGGTCTCGTTGAGGAGGTCGAAGAGCGGCTCCACGCGGACCGGCACCGCGACTGTCGGCACGGCGCCGTTTCGCAGCCGGTTCCGCTTCTGGTTGCCCTGCATCACCTGCTCCCGGCTCTCGTCCTCGTAGAACTCGACGAGGAAGTGGCGCGAGCAGACCCGCGCCGTGTTGATGTTGAAAGGCGCGTCGCCGTTCGCGAGAGGCTCACGGCCGCACGCGCGCACCCACGACTCGCGCACGTCCGCTCTGTGAGGGAACCGGTGGTAGCGCACCGATTGCTTGCGGGTCCGCCGATGGCTATTGCGGCACGTGGATACGGCACACTGCGGCATCCTATATCGAGAGTAGGACTTGGAATTATATGTTGCACGCGAGAGGACCAACCGCGCGGAAGCTACGTCAACTCCATCGCGCAGGCGTGATCTTATATATTGGAGAGGAAGCGTTCTCTTCCGTTCACGTCTTCGACTAGAATGAACGAAAGGAGGATGAGGGATGTGTGTGTGTGTGTGTGTGTGTGTGTGTGTGTATGTGCTAGTGACTTTTTAGGGGAGTAAAGTATTCGTCAGTTTCGAGCTTCAAGATAAAATACTTCAATTCTTATGATGTTACATGTTTTTCTTTGATTAAAAACGTATAAGATTTCCAACGGAAAGAGAAATGAAGATAAGAAACATTTTTTTGGAAGGGAGAACAAATATATAAGATAAAGAAAAGAAGAAATGGATGTACAATGACGTTTGAAGGCTATATTGCGTCTAAGATTAAAAATCTGACAAAAGAAGGTATAACATGCGGGTTTAGGGATAAAGTCAGGACCGCAGTCTGAAACGCAAAAGGATTAAAATTGAACAGATTGGTACTAATAATGCTACAAAATTTTGGATCCCTTTACTTGTTATTCAACGAGTTGGTTTTTCGTGTCCTTGAAGAATAAGGGTGGTAGAAGCAGGAATGCGCAAGTGAGAAAGAAACGGAGCGATGAAACACAATGTCAAACAATGATACACGCTAGGAACGGAAAGTCCGTGGAGTTCGCGAGAGGTGTCGCCTTTTGTAACCCCCGTCCCGATGATCGACTATCCGCTCGCATCGAGATGGCGTTGCAAGTGACAGAATAAATAATCATCAACCGGCCGGCCGGCCGGCGTCTGAAGCGGCGTGGAGAACGCGGCAGGGAGGAGAAAAACAGAAAGAGAGAGGGGACCGACCCACCTCTTAAATGGAGCTTGGTGACACCGGAAGTGACACGCGTCGGCGAGAAATGGACCAGAGAAAGAAACAAACCAACTAATCGCTGAACACTGTTGGAAAATAAAAAAAAAAGCCACTCGAGAGATCCTCTCGCGAGTGCACGAGAATCAGGACGATATGACGAGCACCACGACGAGAGGACGATGACACGGGGTGATTATAACGCGCTTTCGCCCGCACTCGCGACGCTTCTCCACCGAACTGACGTCTTGTTCCGATCGGTCTGTAGCGTAAGAGGTGGCAGGCATAGCCAAGTGGCAGCTGCGTGTACCATGGCTGCGTGAACCTAACCCGGTGAACCAATCGTGCTCCACCGTGGCCGTCGCGGCAGGGATGACGGGGACGTCGTGGAGGGGAGGGGAAGAGGGGCGCGCACCAACCTGGGGTTGCTTGCGAGCAAGGAACGGCCGTCGACGAAGGGAAAATCGTGCGCGAGGGAGGGAGATCAACGCGCTCACTCTCCGCTGCGAACGAAGGTCCTTTTTCGCCTCCTTTAAGCCTCCTTTCGGCACCCTCGGGCTCTCTCGCACGCGATATCTCTTCCGTCTTATCTGGTCTTTGCGTTCGCTTTCATCTTCTCCGATGAGATGTTTCCTCGACGCTCATCATTCTCGAGTTCCTGCGTAATGGTCGCGATTGGTCTCTCTAGCAAGAGATTTTGGTTCTCCAGAGTGGATAGCTATATTTATCACCGTATCGCGCTATCTCTTATCGCAATATCTTATTGCTTTCTTGATATGCTCTCTATATCGGTTTTCCCGATTATTTATTGTTTCCTTCGCTGCGTGACGAAGCGGTGTCACAATTGTGTTTTCAAGTGTCAACAATATTTTCCGACCAACAACAAAAATTAAAATAGTATATGTAATAAAGTATATCACATCGGTTCTATTAAAAAGATACACGAGGAGAATTTTCTCTTACAACGCAATATGGTATTGGAAAGGATTTTATATAAGATTTTCTTTGATTAATATTCAGCACAATAAAAAAATATTAATATGCACTTCGTAAAATTGATCGAACATATTTCCTATATCTTAAGATATTGATATTAAATTTTTTATATTTTCTCGAATTTTGAAACTTTAAAACTAAGCGCTTTCGAACACTCGATCCTCAGTTATTTATTATACACATTTCTATGAACTGTCCTTGAAAGAATCTTTATAATATATATATATATAAAGTTTTACTGTTCTCTTTTCTAGTACATACCATTGTCGTCGTTATTCTATTCATCTAAATGATCCTCGTCACGAGGCACATCGAGATGCGCAAATTCCTTTAACCGTGTCGTCCTCTCAATTATTTGTAACACGATTAAAATGCATCGAAAGATCAAGAGATCCTTATAATTATTACATCAAAGTTTTATGTCTAGTAAAATCAAAAGGACATCGCGTTTTCGATTCGATAGCACGACAATTAGCCGAAAGGAATAAAAATGTGAATAATTATTTATTTCGTTTACAACAGGTGCATTTTCGAGAACTTTGTCACAGAAAAAAGATGCTCATTTTTTGGTAATAAATATCTGTCTATTCCAATATATAAAATTTTTCTAATGCAGCGACAAATCTATAGTTTTTAAGGAAAAATCTTGGGTTTGCCCTTTATCCCCGAACAAAACAAAACCAAACAAAACAAAAAAGTTCTCGACACTTTAATCAAATATTAACACGAACACAAAAACAAATTCGAGATTGTGTTTTCGATTAATTTGGCGAACGGGGTCGCGATAGAATTTCGGCTGTAGTTAAATCAGATTTTTTCTATCGCGCAAACATTACGGACAATTAAATCGATGAGTGACAATAATAGAAAGTCGAAATTCGCTATTTGCAACGTAATAGTTGCAAATAACGAGTATCTCGACGAGTCGCTTCGGCGGCGAGAGATTTTAACGCTATCGAAATAGGTCTAGGAGTTTTGTCCTCCGACATTTTCTGAATTATTAAATCTTCCTCGTAATCTTGGATATTATAAGACACGAAATTTGTCGATGAACGATAACATCAGACTGTACAAATTATTCTTTCTCGTAATCATTCGATTTTTTTATACATCTTTGATTAACCATAGTAGAAATGCACAAGTGTAACCAAAATCGATTACCGCTCAAGATTTGATCGATATCTACTAGAGTAAATTTATGTAAATACCGGTAATGTAAGAAGATCGTGAGCAGTTCGATAGTCTATTGCGTAGCTTGTTCGATTAGAAATCCCCGCTTCGGGGAAGCTTTATTGGCCAGGAAATTATTGACACTATTGCCTTCTCGTAATAGTCAGTCGAGATTGATCGTAAACGAAAGCAGTTCGAGCGAGACTAATTGCGTAAGCATGTCTAACATGAGGATCGTTCCAAGAATCTTTTAAATTTCAATTCTACCTCGTCGGTAATGCGAACCAAATCTCTCGTTGTTTTTGCCATTAAAAATAACAATTTAATAGACGTGTCGGTTCTCCAAAGCTTGAAATATTTTTTCTGAGAAGATATAGTTCTCAGGACTCGTACTATAACTATATAGAGTGTCAATATATTATCGCTATATCAAAAGAGAAATAAATATGGAATGTGGTCTTCAAATATTCATCGATTATATATGATACTTGAAAAATATCTGTCATAATAATTATGGTACTCGTCAAAAATATTTAAAGAAACATTTAATTATAAGAGTGTTTCTCCTCTTATCTTGGACACGTGTGTCTTCCCGGAGGCTTGGCAAAACAGTTTTGCATCCGTTCATCTTTTTCTCTTTCTCTCTCTCGGGTGTTCTCGCGTGGGTCTCTCCAGGGAGCGAAGAAAAGAAGAAGCTGTCGAAAAGAATATGAGAGAAGAGTTGACCGCGCTGGAGGAGGCGTTGCCTGACTTGGTGCGGTTCACCAAACGGTCTCAAACAAGGACAAGACTATACAAGATTTTCGATATTCTCTTCTCTTTCTCTCTTCTTCCGCACGCGACTGTTTCCGGCCCTTTCGCTTTGAGTTTCGAACATCAAATTCCAATTTCTCCAAAGTTTTCCCATATTTCAACGAGCACTTCAACACCGAGCACAGTGTGACACCGTCCTCGAAAACTAATTCGTATATTAATTCTATTATTTATTCAAACGGCTCTCGAGGAGTTAAAGCCTCCCTGGGGAAAATTACTATATAAATATTGATACGTAAAAATTAGATTGGTAACGCTGCTGTGTGAAAAAAAAAATACATTTCTTTATGTTCTCCGGTGTCTTTTACATGCTGCGACCACTGGTATTTTCGTTATCGTTCCACTTATCGAAGAGTTCTCCAACGCGTCGAGAAGATAACCGCGCTCAGGTATAAGAACAGAAGGCAGGAAGCGCGTCGAACGGAGAACCCGAGTCATCCGAATCATTTGGGGAAATACCGAGAGCGGCTGGATAGATCGCGTTAGAGTTCCCTCGGATAACCCTGGTTCCGCAAATATCTAGGGGCCTGCGCCTCGTTCCCGTCGTCGCGACCCTTCCCGCCGGAATATGCGGCCGGAGCTGACAGAGAGGGAACCCTCTCGCTCGCTCCCTCGCAGCCGACACCCGGACACTATCCTTCGCCCTCCCGTGGGCTCTCTCGTGCGCGCGGCTCGATTCCGCCATCGCCTCGCCACGCCGCGACGCACAGCTGGCGCAGGAGGGAAACGGCGTCGTCGGCCCCGTGGCCACCAGACGCGCGCCTGGAGAACGACGAAGGATGATGCGCAGCTGCGGGAGAGGCTCAAGTGGGGCAGGTCGAAGAAGAGAGTTTCAGCGCCCACGGAAAACGGAGAGGCCGATATCTTGCACGGTGAACGCAGAGACAGTTGTATATATATATATATATATATTTAACGACGAATTTTTATATGTAACAAGGTGTCTAGTAAAATTTGAAAATATAATTTCAGGACGTTTCGATTCAAGGAAATTTGCACGATTTTCCAATACTATGATAAAGATGTACGGGAAACTTGATTTTCTTTATCAAGTCGATAATTGCACGGTAATGAAAATTAATTAGCAATAGTACAATTATCTCTTATATTATATCTGAACGTTTAAAAATAACTTATGC